CTACAGTCGAAATCTTCAGACTGGAAGATTCAAGAATGCTGGATACAAACTAATAACTTTTAAATAAAATACAAGACGAAAAATGCATAAACTGAGAATCAGATTGCAATATGACTAAAAAACCAAAAAAACAACTGCCTTGTTTACCACACTGTTTGTAACTGACGAATGGAAAAGAAGGTAACATACAAATAAAGTGGGAATATGCGAGAAAGTTCGTTCCTTCTATCGTACAAAAGAGGAATTTTTGACATCATAGGACAGTTTCTAGAGATATCGAAAACGGCGAGTTTAGCAAGGTAAACAAGTCAAACTACAAGCAAAAGAAAAGCGGAGCTGGAGCGTTCATGAAAACAAAAGCGAAAAGAAAAATCATAATAATTAAAAAAGATAACGGACAAAAACGAGCAACAAAGAAGCGGTAGGAACAATGTCGAAATCTCTGGAAGGACCTAATGGTGGCCAGTCATCTCATATGGAAGGACCTAATGGTGGCAAGTCATTCTCATCTGGAAGGTACTAGGACTTTTTATGGTGTGATTACTTCCTGTAGCTCAGGTATAAATGGGAGTCAAGTAGAGACGATTCAACAACATTGACAAAAAAGGCAAGAGTAATTTGTATTTTGACTGTTGTGTGAAATAAGCGAGTGCTGTTTACAATGTCTCTTCAACCTTTCTTCGATTTACACCCATTCCAAGACGTCTTTTCTGACTTTTTAAGCTATTCCCCCCGCGTTCAACGCCAGGATCGTGCCGTTGATTTGTCACCTGCCATTGATGTCCATGAAGGCAAAGACACAGTTGCTGTTGATGTAGAACTTCCTGGTGTCAAAAAGGAAGACGTTCAAGTTCATTACGACGAAGGAAAGCTTACCGTTTCTGGTAAATCCGTGAATGAACGCAAGAGCGAGGGAGATCGAGGAAACCACAGATGGTCTGAACGTCGCTTTGGATCCTTCTCTCGAACTATCTCCATCCCCAGCAGGATCGATTCCGACCGTATTGAAGCCCAATATTCCAATGGCATCTTGAGTATTGTCTTGCCCAAGATTGAGCAATCTCGCTCCAAGAAACAAATCGCCATCAATTAAGCTGAAGGGCTAGTGGTATTGAGTTTATGATGATATGATTGTATTCTAATGAGAATTTATAATGGCATAATGACTTTTTAATATAGCATAGTATTTTAATGAGAGTTTATCATACTTTAAAGGTACTCACTTCATTATTGTTTATATCAAGTAGCAGTGTGGCCCAGGAATGTCGGTAGCATCTATCTTCCCAATACGATTCCAGCCGTCTTGACCAGAACACTTTATGATATTACCAACGGTTACGGCTTGCGAATGAGGATGGTAAATAGTCGCTGTACGTTTTTTCCATAACCATCATACGTTATAATAAGTTAAGCTTGACATTGTTTTGAGGTAGGATCAACCAACAAAATAAAAAAAAGAACCAAGTGTTAAAGAGCAAGAGTAAAATATTTAAATCTTTTACAGGTTTCTTTTCTGTAAGACTATGCAAAGTACAACGGCAATAAACGATGAATCATGTTATAACTGGATATTACTTTTTATTTCTTTTTTTTGGCTAGACAACATAAACAAAGCACTATGTTACTCGTCAGACAACACTGCCACTTTGGAGAGGTGACGGTATACATCGAAGAATAGCGGTATTTTTAGTCAACGTAATATAGTTAAGCGAAGGATACGGAAGGAACGCGAAACTTGCAAAGCCATTACTTCACCTCTGTAAAACTCTGGTCATCGCCATTGCGGACTCATTTCTCGGTTTTTTATGGATTTTTCAGCGTTTTCAGCTTTTTCTTTTAGGGTCAGTTGATTTAGAAGATTTTCTAGAAATTAGCATGCCTTTTGACCCTTCTACTGCGTCGTAATTCGCTACTTCACAGTTCAATCCTAACCCATCGCATTGGTGACAGATGACTCTATACTAAGAAAAATGAACGAAAAAGAAAAAGAATTTCAGCTAGAGGCTGCGAAACTAGCCGAATCTTTTTGCTTGAGCTCTTCTATAAGTTCTGACAGCTTTTTGCCGAAATACAGCGAAAACACCTATTCACATCTGGACGATATGGAGAAAGGTTGCTTATGTTTACATTCTGATCCAGCTCCAACGTACCCAGAAAATAACCTTAAAGAAGCGTCC